ACTAATAGGAAGACGCTCGTGGTTCATGCATGATGGATTACCAGCATATTTTAATCACATTGTTCGCGATGCACTGGCTGATATCTACCATGAGAGATGGATAGGTGGGAGAGGACCGGTTCCATGGTCTGCACGTTCTCTCGACGTCTATCATTTGGATTTTTCTGTGGGTCCACCTAAAAAATTGGTTTGTGCAACAGACATTAATTAATAATACAGATACACTTCACCAACCTGTCGTGGTGGCGGGCAAGACCATTCGATACAGTGTGCGAGTTTTTGAAAGGGTCCGCTAGTCAATGATCTGACGGATACATACGTGTGTAGAAGCAAGCGGAGGGCATTTTTTTATTTGTTATGAGTACACCCATGGCCATTTGGACATGTGTTTATATGTACATTTTAGCTTTTTAGTGCAAGGATTTTGATACGCCCTGTATATTATATATATATATATATATATATATATATATATATATATATATAGATAGATAGATAGATAGATAGATAGATAATATTAGTGGTAAATATACACATACATATGAAAAATATATAGATATATATACATAGGTGCATACACATATATGTATATTTTTTTAATAAAAAATTCCGAGAGGATAGAATCCAGGAAGAACTCATTGTATATGTATGTATATGTATATTTATGTATACGTATGTGGATGTATGTACATGTAGATGGATGGATATATATGTACATGGATGTATATGTAGATGTGTGTGTATGTTTTGGTATGTATGTATGCATATATAATTGTATATGGGTGTATATGTACGTATATAAGTATGTATATATAGTTAGACGGATAGATACAGGGATACATTATTTGTTTAAATGGGTGTATGTAATTTTATAGAAATGTAAGGTTTTAGATATATATGTTTATGTACGTATGCGTATGTCCGTATGTATATATGTGGGTAAAAATGTGTGTATATATATGAAGGACTGGATGCGGATGGATGTATGTGTTTATATATGCATGTATGTATGTGTGTGTATTTTTGTATATTATTTTTTTACACACATATATATATATATATATATATATATATATATATATATGTGTGTGTGTGTGTGTATATGTGTGTGTGTGTGTGTATGTGTATATATGTGTATATATATATATATATATATATATATATGTATGTATATATATATATATATATATATATATATATATGTGTGTGTGTGTGTGTGTGTGTGTGTGTATGTATGTGTATATATATATATATATATATATATATATATATATATATATGTGTGTGTGTGCATGTGTATGTATGTATATATATGTGAAAAGTGTGTGTATATGGATATAGATGGATATGTGTATGTGTGGATATGTGGATATATTTATCTATGTGTGTACATGGGTATATGTATGTGTGTATGTGGGTACACGCCTATGTGTATGTATATACGTGTATATGTTATTGTGTATGTGTGTATTCGCATGTGTTTTTGAACATAAAAATATAGGTCCTTGCTAGATTAGATAATCGTTATATTTATTTTTTATATGTTTATATTTTATTTGTAACCTGTAGTCGATATTAAATTTGTCAAATTTTCTCAAGTACACTGCGGACCTTTCAGTAAATGTAGTTCAATTTTACTTTCCTTCACCTTATCTCTCCCCCCTACCTCGTCTTTCCCTCCCTCTTATTCTGATCTTCAACATTAAATCGTCTATGGTGTGTGTATGTCACCACGAAATGTATCTTTATGCATTAGACATCCGACAACATTCATATTTCTCTTACTTGAACCCCTTCCACTCACCTCTCCTAAAATTCTCTCTGTTAAGGTTTAATCTCCCTCCTTCTCTAGACTCTCTCTAAATTCTGTTTTTATTTCCGGAGTTGTCTTTTCTGTTTTCTTTTTGAATTTGTAGGTCTGATGAATTGGATCGTATTTACGATTCCAATGGAATAAATTATGACTATGGAATATTAGTGTTTAAGCCTTTTTATTATATATATATATATATATATATATATATTAAACACATATATATTAAACACATATATATTAAAGTATATCATGAAAGTTTTACCAGCATGGAATGGTTAATATAAACTTTATTAGGAAACATTGATGGATATAATGAGATATGACATATCCATATACGTAAGTACATACATAGATACTTGATGGGATGGCAAGATTGGAAACGAGCAATGTAATAACTTGATCCATCCCCAGATATGAACAGTGCAGATGTGGCTTTTTAGTCTGACATAATAACTGCGTCTTCTTTTGCATCCAATGTTGTAGACCAGGCCATGCATACATTGATACATTTCTATCTATCTATCTATCTATCTATCTATCTATCTATCTATCTATCTATCTATAGATCGGATGTCTAGCCACATTGATAAGCAGCGATATATATATATATATATATATATATATATATATATATATATATATATATATATATATATATTAATAATAATTGAGGTTGATTTATTCTTAAGAATTGGTGATGGACACTTTTATGATTTTTTTCAATCGAACCAAAGATATTGTAAATATTCTATTTTCTTCTCAAGTCTTGCAGACAGCATGATTCAATTAAGAATTTTGCTTGTTAATGAAATTCTTCAAAGCACCATTGATTAAAAATGCATCATTTTTATTCAGAGATGTGAGATAGATCGATGATTATATATATATATATATATATATATATATATATATATATATATATATATATAAAGAACAGTAAGATATATAATCCGGTGTTCCTATTGATATTTTTTCTTCTTCTTTTTTTTTATTCTTATTTTTACAAAACAGTGCTCAATGTAAATTTACAGGGCATAAATATTATAAATTAACTGTTTTAAAATATATATATATATATATATATATATATATATATATATATATAAAACGAAATTCAAAGATACCCCATATGAATAGCTATTTCACCCCTCAAGAATTAATCTTGTAAGGTTTGTCAATACCAAAAGTGTTTGGATATAAAATAAAAATGATAGCTCTCTTTGTGGGTCAGTTTTAATATTTTATGTTATTAGGATTCTCTTGGATTATGTTAACCACGGATTTTTTATTTATATATATATATATATATATATATATATATATATATATATATATATATATATATATATATATATATATATATAGATATATATATAGATATATATACAGATATATTTATTAAGGCATTAAAAACTAGAAATGTAGTATTGTAGGCCATGATAAGTTTAAATAAAACACACCAGTCGACCGGGTTTCGTCCCTCTCGTCAGAACTGTTAACGGGGAATTTAGATTATGAGGAAAAGAAAAAAAAGTCTGTCATGGGTGACATGAATGAATGGACAGGTATATATATATATATATATATATATATATATATATATATATATATATATATATATATATATATATATATATATATTAAAATTATACCAACCAAGCTGCTAGAATCGCAGAACAGCAAGTCCAAGCAAACAATCTCTCTGTTTGCAAAGAGCAGGCTGCCTAGACCTGATGTAAAGCGACTCCAGCACCTTAAGATGGAAAAGTGAGTGAACTGGCCAAGACGGAAAACCAGTTCACACTGAAATCCATCGCACATGTTGGATTCTTTATAAAATGATCCGCAATGGAAGACCCATACGTGTTACGAATGGTATCGCCCAAAGAAAATTTTTGTTTCGTATTATCGCAGGTACGTGTTGTTTAATTCTCACGTCCAACCGTTGTGTCGTTCTACCTATGTAGTCGCATCCACAACTACATTTGAAATAGTAAATAACAGAGTATATATATATATATATATATATATATATATATATATATATATATTATAAATTAATTGATTTAAAAATATGGTTTTTAAAGAACACAGTTCAACCATGTTTTCAAAATATTGGAGAAAAAAAAATTCGCTTGAAGAAGATAAATTAGAACATTAGTTCTATTTTATTTCAAAAATAAATTTTTGGGTTTCAAAATTCTATTTTAGAAACATGGTGTGGAACTGTGTAAAGAAAATAAAATATTTTAAATCAATTAATTATATATTAATGCTTTGTAAATTTACATTGAGCACTATTTTGTAAAAATAAAATATCTATAAGAACACCGGATTTTTATATCTTACTGTTCTTTCTTTTTATTTATATATATATATATATATATATATATATATATATATATATATATATATATATAGAGAGATAGAGAGAGAGAGAGAGAGAGAGAAGAGGAGAAGAGAATGACAAAGGAGAAAGATGAAGAAAGTGAGAAGAGGGTGATTAAAATAAGTGGAAAGAAAAAATCGTTCATTAAGACTGAAATGAAAGGAAATGATCACCGAAGAAGAGAAATGAAGAAGGAAAGTAAGAAGAACAAATAATCATAAAGCGGCAAAAGGCGGGAAAATGATTAAATTGGTGATTATGAATGAAATCAAAGGAAATATCCGGAAATTTTACAGCAGCCTGCCTCGTATTTATTCTTTGTTTCCCTATTTTCTGCCATTTTTCGGGATTTCTGTTTTGAATCTCATCGCTTCTGGCTTTGACGGTCATATCAACATCGAGCCTAGTCAGCACCTAGATGTGTGCCCGCTTCGGAATATCAAGTTCCGTAAGATTGGATGTGAGGATGATGTAATCGATAATGACTCGTAATTGGGTTACAATTCAAGTCCAGTTCTGTGTATTCACTTACACGCAACTACATTTGGTAAAGGTATACATCCACCTATTCTCTTCCCAGTTGTGGTTTAAGTAGTAAGACGTGTATTCCTGCATCATTATTATGTCCAAAACATTCTGACAGTCTAAAAATATTTTCTGGCTTTAAATAACATACAAAGTGTCGATAAACCGTAAAAAAGACACTAATCAATCAACATTGTTTCTCCACCTCTGCGATCTTTCGCTCCATTTTCATTTCCAAATCCCCCTCTTCATTTATTTTGTCATTTGGACTTACGGCCATATCACGTTAAAACACCGGTTCACCTCCAGTCACCAAAGTTAAGCAACGTTGAATTTGGTCAGTACTTAGATGGGTGACCGTTCAGAAATACCAGATGCTGTAAGTTTCTCCTCCTAGATTACGGTGATATCACGTTAAAACGCAGTTTCTCTTCCAGTCACCGAAGTTAAGCAACGTTGAATTTGGTCAGTACTTAGATGGGTGACCGTTCGGAAATACCAGATTTTGTAAGCTTCTCCTCCTAGCTATAGGTTAAGTAGTGAGACTTTTATCAAAAACTTATTATTATCTCCACAAAGTTATTTCCATTCAAGGATATGTTCCGGCTTCCAATAATTAACATTTGCATTAAACTAAAGGCTGTTCCAATAACTTGGACGGATTTTAAATGAGAATTAATTTTAAACGTCTAATGATTTTTTTCTCTTTCTTTCAGATTAAACAACTTATGTCTTTGGCAATTACAACCATGGAAGGATTGACAATCAAACAACGTATTAAAGTTATCGAAGCCTATTAAGAAAATGGATGTTCAAATAGAAATTCCCAGGTTGCATCATCTCTCAAAACAGCGAAGTCAATTGGCCACCACGATCGTGCGAATTTAGATTTCTTCCTTTGGGGGTCATCTCAAAAGTAAGGTCAATGCCAACAAGCCAACAAGAATTCAACAGTTGAAGGATATTATTTTTCACGCATAATTGCCATTACTTAAATGACATGATCCGATAGAGAAATAAATAAATTTTCACAAATAACACTGATTTATTTACGGCTGACTTTGATCCGTCTTAATGAAACACCCTTTATGTTCAAACTTCACTTTCTCATTCCTTCTGTTCTGTAATACTGGTACGACCAAAAATATTCGTTTGTTTGCCGTCAGATGATATTAGAGACAATTGGTTTTAACTATCTTAACTAAAAAAGATTACCACTGATTGCATTGTGTCAAATGTCATAGCTTGCATTAAAAATGGTGTTTGTCAATTATTTTGTACTAATTATTCCGTTAATACAATGTTCATGATTCACTTAAAGTAAATATTTAATGACTGAGTTTGATGGACGTCAGATCAGGAGGTAAAAACTAAAATCTAAAAGTAGATGTCACAAAGTTAACGGTTAAACCAAGACTAAAAATGGTTAAGAATTTAGAGATCAAAGAAGCATCGGTTGTTGTCTGTTCGACGAATCCGTGGTTCTTGGTAATTTCCTTTTTACTAACTGATTTACTAACCCATAGTCTACCTTCTAATTTTCATTATGCAGAAATTCATTCAGAGGAAGAAAAGGCGATGTCAATGAATGTGTTTGTTAAAGAACCCCAGAAAGAGGAAATACATTTTATGTATTTGGTTTCATTTTTGTTTTACGGTATATCAACCTCAATTAAGGCCGACAAAATTTTTATTACTGGTAATATGTTTTTCTTCAAAAATCTATTTCTGGGATATTTTTCCTTGAAGAAATCTATAGATGGTCATATTTTTTCAAAGAATGTATAACTGTTTGTATTGTTCGGTTTTTTCAAGTATTGCTGATAATAATTTTTCCTTCAAAAATTATTGCTGGTAATATTTTTTTATTACAAAGTATTTCTGGCATTAAAACCTATTTTTACACAAGTTTGGGTGTTAACTATTTGCCGATAGCTGAGACCCTAACAGGTGCTACCACCCCGGGTCTGGGTGGACTAGGGAACACCAGCAATTAAGAGGTGGTTCCTCGCTCCTCAAAACCTCCTGATCAGAGACCTTGCTGTCGTACATAGATTATGGTCTTACCCAGGACGCGGATGTTGTTTATCGTCATACCCAGGACGAATTTCTGATATTGTCTCTTCGGTTCCACAAAGCTGAGGTTATTGGTAACTTTCTTTCTAATAAATAAACTGAAGCAGTCTTTTTTTTTATTCAAACATATGATGCTTACCGTGGAATATGAGGATGGACGGAAATAAGCAACATTTTCGGTAGGCCATTTTTTAGAAAACGCCCCCTCCCACAAATAAAAGAAAGAAAATTTGTATTGAAAAAGGTGTGATCGAACGTGTCCAAAATGGAGCATTTCTTGCTGAATGAATCGTTATCATCTCTGAGACTCTGGGATTGGGAAAAATCAAATAAGTAACTGACAATAAACATAGTGAAAATAACAACATACCAGATTTGAATGACCTCCAAAATTGTTCTAAAAAAGATTATATCATTTATGAAAAAAGACTCCAAACTTTTATCGTCAAAATATTTATGTTATTTTTAAGAGGAGAGACCAATTTAAAATTTTTTTTTTTTATTAAACTTTAAATCCTTTTTAGTATGTTCCGTATTGTGGCTAGAATTTTTTTTTTTCAGTTAGCGGGTGGAATAGGAATTTTTAACGTCTTTTTGGGCATTAAAACACATTGTTTTGGATATTCTTGCAAATATCAAATAATTACTGGATTTTAATGAAATTGTCAGGACTTATTCACAAATGAATGAAATTATTTGGAAAATTTTTTTTTTAAAAATCTTGGTAAAACTATTTTTTTACATCTATTACCACAACATACTTAATTTTAATGAAATTTCGAAAAATGTTCGTCACTTCATACTTATATTAGCTAAATGCAGGACCCCTTACAGAATTTAAATACTCGATTTGCTTTTGTCAAACAGAGACACCATTTATCGAAAATCTTCTCTGAAACTAAGGTAAAAAAAAACAAAAACAATAAAACTATGACATTATTTAATTAGAAAATATTTTAATTGCTTTTATAAATAAGATATGTTAAAGACACTATATTCTTAAGAAAAATTATTTTTAGATGAATTTTTGAAAGAAATATTTTCATGTTAAATATTTTAATTAGAAAAATTATTAAGTTTCAAATCTTTTAAAATTCTGTATTAATTTCAGCCTTTTAGATGATAATATTATTAAGCGAAAACTATATTTACTAATCATGAATGAAAAAGTTTAATACAAATAGCGAAATATGAATATCTTTAAAAAGAATTTATTTTTTTGTATGTGTATAGACGTGGCGATTTGTAATTACGCGCGAGCGTATAGTCGACATTATCAGAACATAATAGCGATAATTATAATAAAAATGAAGTCAACATTTCTAAAATTCAATAAAACATTAGATTATGGAAAATATTTACTTAAATTTTTAAGATTACTGAATACTTAAAAAATTATATAAAAATGCGCTCACGTCATTTGCTTCAATTATGTTTCACAAATAAAGTATGTATAGAACAACATTAAAGCTGTCAACACGTGAAAACATCTATTGTCGGATTAAAAACACAGCTAATGTCAGGTTAAAAAAAATGCATCATGCGATATTTTAAACTTAAAGAATTTTTGTTTCAAATCAGATTTATTATACTTTAAATGAGCTAATATTTCTCAAATAAAGTTTCAGACATGTATATTTTATTTTTGGAAGATTTTTTTTTAATAAAGAGAATCACATTGCGATGACAGACGACCAAAAATAGTCGGTAATCAGCTATTTTAGAAAAAAACCTTTCAGTCAATTTAATGGTTTTGAAATACAACAAATTATTTTGATTATTTGAAATATTAAATTCAATCTATTAGCTTGACATTAAAAGTAAAATAAAAGTTTCAAGAAAGAATTTTCATTTTAAAATTCCATTTACAATCTTCGTGTTTTGGGGTCGTCCCTATGATATACTTATTTGCAAAAATCGAAGACCTGAAAGAATGTTCCAAGAAAGACAATAGCAAAGCCAATGGAAACAGCTTGGAAAATCTGATTAAAAGAAAGATCTCCAAACGATAAAAAGTTGCAAGTTTACGAAATGACCCGACTAATAAGACAGTCGACTAATAAGACAGTCGACTCATAAGACAGTCGACTAAAGCCAACAGATTAGTGGCTATTGTTGTGACAGTTATAAATGGATTTGTGTTCAGAGAAAGAATTAAGACTCATGAGCCGACAGTGGTGCTGTTCCGATCGGCGACTGTAAGTAAAAGAGATTAAAAAAAAACAAAAAAAAACACTGGTTCCTACTCAATTTCTAGTGATAATCAGTAGACTCCTGGTGTAAACATGCAAATATTTCACTTTGTGTTATGTCCCATTTTTTATAATGATGTTCGTCCTGTACAAGTCCCAAAAGCCACTCGAAGTAGAGTATTAAAGGGTAAAAGGCACAATTTATGGCGATATTTGGGGAAGGTAACGGTTAATCCTAGAATTGAACAGATCAAAATTGTAGTGATCGGGAAAGTATGGTCTTGGAAGATGTTTCCACAAAAATGCGAAATTTACACGTGGAAAATTGGTGTCTTCTTTGTTGTTATCACAACGTTTCGGTCGCTTTGCCTTCTGGTCTTTATAAGATGAAATGTCGATCCGGGAAACTTCAATTTCGTACTGAACCCTTTATTTAATCTACGGTGGTAGATTGTTTGATTTGAATAGGAGTAGAATTTTAATCTTGTTTCCTGTTTAGGGTTGGGTTCCTGGTTCCTTCTAAATACTTTCATTCTCTTTCACTGCCCCGTGCGTCTTAGTGGAATTATCGCCTTACTTGAGGTAGATTGATTAATAAATAATGAAAATACATACAGAATTCTTTAGTCACATATTTTAATATAAAATCGAAAGAAATGAAATGAAAATATAGCAAATAATGCATTTTTATATAATCAGGTTTAGTATATTTTCTGATCTGAGTGTTGGATTTCAGTGCCATCATATATCATTATCCTTTGGTTTAACGTTCATCTGTCAGCGAAGAAACTGGAAATTATATCACGAAAAAATATACAAGAAAACCTGAGCTATAATGATAATTGAATCTGTAACATTCTAGGAAATTATGGAAATTCTATTTATATATTACACGTCTTTACATTACTGTTATATGAAAATAATTTTCCAACTTAATTTTTTAAACACATATGTGAAGCAAATAATTCTCTTTATGCTTTTAATCATTTGTCAAACAGACGATGATGCCGCCAAAACGCAAGACATTACTGCACATGAAAGAAACAGGGAAATCTATTTTTTTGAAGATCGTATTTGAGAGGAAAGCAAGAAGCCAGAAGAATTCCACAGGTGAG